TTGTCCTAGAGAACTCAAATTCAAATCACAATTGTGTGATCCAGGCCTGAATGTGATGAAATATGAAATTTTATAAAAGTGAACTCTATAGCGCCCCCTAGCATAGACGTGAAACGTCAACATTATCGGATTTGTACCAAATTCGGGAATTAAATTCTCCCCATGATTACAAGCAAAAAAGTCTATTACGAACATGATGCATTTTCCACGTTTGGCCAGCAGGGGCGCAAAGACTCCCTCAAAAAATAGTAAAAAAATTATTACACCCACAGGGTTAGTCCGATCGTGCTGAAATTTGAATCACTAATGCCTGATCATGGCCTGAATATAATACACTATAAAACATATGAAAAATGAACTCTATAGCGCCCCCTAGCATTGACAAACATCAACATTATCGGATTAGTACCAAATTCGGGACATAAATTCTATGTATGATTACAAGCAAAAAAGTCTATTACGGACATGATGCATTTTCCACTATTGGCCAGCCGGGGCGCAAAGACTCCCCCAAAAAATAGTTTAAAAATTATTACACCCACAGGCTTAGTCCGATCGTGCTGAAATTTGAATCACTAATGCCTGATCATGGCCTGAATATAATACACTATAAAACATATGAAAAATGAACTCTATAGCGCCCCCTACCATAGACATGAAATTTCAACATTATCGGATTTGTACCAAACTCGGGGATTAAATTCTATGCATGATTGTGAACTAAAAAGTATATTACGGATATTGGGCATTTTTCATGGTTGGCCAGTAGGGGCGCAATGACTCCTCTGAAACATTTAAAGGTACACTGTAATTTTTCTGGTGGACGAGCTGTCGGCCTTGGGAGCTATCGGGAAGAGAGAGTGGCGTGCCGGGGCGGTCGCGAGTCCCCGGCGGTCGCGTGGGGGGGCGGTGCGCGCCGGGGCGAGGACCACCATCGCCGCGCGCGGCTTTAATTTCTATTGTAGTTCTAAACAAGAAATTATCAAAAGGAGGATAGAAAAAGTGGACAAAATAAACTGAAGAGCTGAATTACAATTTGAAAGCATTTGAGTACTGTACTACAGTTTGAGAAACACTTGTATAAAGGAGAAAAGGGTGATAAATGGTGTCCAATGCAGCAGAGAGGTTGAGGGAAAGGTGTATGAAGGAGTATACTGTATGTTGCGGCCAAATCCTACTAGACCGCTGAGAGTTGCAGGTAAGGAGAAAGTAAGTGACGCGCTCTTGTCTCTGGCGTCTGAGTAATCAAATCCAGTCTTAAGATAAAAATAGTCTTTATTACTTCTTAATTGGCCAAAATTCATTATTATAAAAATGAATCTAAAATCGTACAAAGACGCCAAGCATGGCGGTCAACAAACTGTGTGCTCCACCAGATTGCAACACCTGTGGAGCACAGGAGGGGTCCTCCCTAATGTAGCCTACCACACGGCGCCCTCTACAGGTGATGCACACACAAGACACATGGCTCCAACACTGTATATATGGGCAAAGAAGGCATTGCTGATAGTGCTGTTTGCCCCCATCTGTGTTTGAAAAGTGACAGAATATAAAAATATAATAAAAAAATATATATAATATATATATATATATATATATATATATATATATATATATATATATATATATATATATATATATATATATATATATATATATATATATATATATATATATATATTCACAAATGTTGAACCTGGCCATTTCTATGACCTGATCCAAGAAATGACTAGATTACAATGTAACTGCCCCCATCAGTTTTCTTTATTTGAGTGTTTTCCAAACTATTGCTGCTTTCTGCAGACTTCTCAGTGTGCTATGATTTGAAACACTACCTCCTATGATGCAAGTGCTCTTCCCATTGTGCAGTCAGCTCAACTTGTCTGAAACAGCACAAGCCTTTCCTAAAATTTACAACATTGTGATTAGTCTCTGCACACATCTCAGGGATGGGGAACACGCCCTGTCAGATGTGCTCAGTCCTTTTGTTTCACTGCATCTTTTAATAGTTTAATAGAAACAGTTTAAAATGGGGGTGTTGGTCAATATTGTGATCACAGCTGCAAAACGTTAACCACCCCATGCTCAGTCACTGATTCATGCTGACAAAGCTGGTTCCACCATGGATGTGACGCAAAAGAGTGAAAATCAATAGTTTGTCCAAGTGGCTTGGACTCTAGGAGCTGATGAATGATGCATGATACACTATGTGATTTCACTTATAAATACATTTTTAAAAATCTATTTTACATGTGGGTGACAGTTTAGACTGTTTCAATAAAACACAAATAGTTAACATCATATTTATTGTTAACAATAAAGGCCAATCTATCTATCCATCCCTCGAATTCACAATTATCACAATTGAAAGATGAATTATAGCTGAAAATAATGAGCATCACATTCCCTGAGAAGTATTAAGGTACTGTACAGGGGTTTCTGTCTCTTTGACTGAGAAACACTGAAAACAATAAACATATACAACAAATAAATCATAACCATCTAACATTATCATTATGAGTGTAAGTGTGATTAAATCACATTTTGGTATGAGTTCCTCCTACTGTATATGCTGCTGTTGTTGTTCTTTGTACTGTAGTTGCAGTTGTACTGAAATTGAAAATTGAAATATGTTGATGCAGTGATTTCAGTGCAAACACAAATATTAAGATGCTTAATTTTTTTGGCTCCTGGTCCATTTTCTTGTTATTGAATGTCAAATATTGCAATTTACTTGGAAGAACAAAACCACTTATTCACCTACCAGATTAAACTGACCAAAAACAAAAACAAAAAAAACACACAAAAAAAACAAAGCAATTAGAATAGTTGAAAAAGACAACATCCAACCAATTAGGACCTAACATGTGAGAGTTGTTCTGTCCATTGCCGTTTTCTGTGATTTCTCGTCTGTCCTCTGGGTTCTTGGTCCCTGTTACTCTGTTGAGCTCAGTCTAGTTTATATCTCCATCTATTAATAGAAACAGTTCCAGAAGGGGGCGTTGCTTAAAATTACAGCTGCAAAGTATTACAAAACTTCCCTCCATCACTGACTTACAGAGAAAGCAATAGCCACCTGGGATATGACACAATTATCAGTAACACAAACTGTGGGGCTAAGACCCTGTGACCCTGCCTAGTATCAGTGTGGTTTGTGAGAGTGTTGATGATGGTTGGAGGGGCTGATGACACAGATTTGCAGCAGTGCTTCTGTCAGTCTACCCCAGTGTAGCTGTGGCTGAGTATGAATTGAATGAATGAAGAGATAGTCCATTGCCGACTACAAACAAGTTGTAGTTGTAGCCACAAGAAGAATCTTTTACAGGGCCTCTACAAAGCTAGAAATGTTTCTCCCCACTTAAATTTTTTCATGTTGATCCATTGCTGTGGAGAGAAGTGTGCTTATGCAGCATATATATTGCCTTTAGACATGTGTGTCTTCAGAGAGCTCACAAATATCTGTGATGAGCTGAGTCCCCTCTCTGAGTATGACCTCACAGGGGCCTGTGCACAGAAAAAACACTGAATCACAATGTGACAAAATCACAGGATTCAGGAATCAGGTCACAATTCTGTTTTTATTGTTGCCCAGCCCTCTCTTATATAGTGCCTAATTGAAGGTTGGTCAAATAGATGAGATGGATAGATATTATCTCATTAAAATCAGAGGTGTGTAGTCTGTGTGTGTATTCTAAGATCACGAACTGGAGTAAGTTTATGAATCATACATGAGTGAATAATTGTACCTCAAAGCTGGGAGAGGCTTCAGCTTATGCTGAAATCATGTGAAACGAAAGGAACCAAGATATGAGTCAAGAATCAGAGGTTCATCAGATGTAAATGGAGCTTGAGCTTGAGGTCAAATTATCTAAAAACTGCATTTATTTAACAAACACATTTTATTAAACCACATCAAATTATTTGTCACTTTGATTTATTGCAAGTCAATTATATTTTACAATGGTGGTTCCGAGGTTGTGCTTGGTTAATTTGGGTGTCGCAGCCTGGGAGCCTTATAAAATGTTATTCTGATCATGCATGATGCATCATTCAGTGGCAGTCAAATAGCCAGAACAGATCAACAGACAGTGATGCAATACAACACAATCACTGTTTTGGAATTGCTCTCTATCTCAGAGGGAAAAATTTTCCTCACCAGAGCCGTATCCTTCCTCTCATGGTCAGAAGAGATGAATCATATTTTACTTCAGATGCTTGACTTGTTCTTTCACCAAGCACTGTGCACATCTTTTTACCATAGAACCAATTGTAGTTGAATAGGATATTTACAGCAGACATAAAAATGAGTTTACTCATTACTGCAGTTCACATACATACAACGTACAAGGTAAGAAAAAAAGGTGTTTTTCATCATGTAATGTTTTCACTTATGAATGAGGCATTTTATGTGCAAGAATGGCCAAAACTACACAAATCTGAATGTGAAAAATGTTTGGAACCAGGTTTAACTTTTCTCTTAATTTTGTTTACATATTAAATAAATAAAAAGGTAGATGTTACTGAAAATTGGCATTGTCGAAGTGCTACTTTATGTGTTGAGACAGGCAGGTCTTATTAGCTGCATAGCAAACGTGCCTGACACTCCCCCGCCGGGTCCCAGTGCCAGCTGTGGGATCTTCAGCTGGGAGCATCAACCTTCACTGGTGTTTGGCCCCTTTAATCTCCAGAACATCTCAGGATGGTAGGGCAGCAAACAGGGATATGAAATCGTGAAACTTATATGAGAGCAAATACACCAAAAAAACACAATGAAAAAAAAACAACTTTAGCCTGCAATGACTCTCCTTTATATCCTAAAAGAAGAAAAGAACAACAGCCATAGCATCACTTACGTTTCATGTTTTGTGCAGCAAACAATTTTTGTTTATATCAGTCAGTATCAAAACACACTGCTGATCTAGTCTTTTGTTAGAGTCTAATAAACATGACACAAGAACAAGTTTTACCCCATTTTATTGGAGTTGCACTCTGACGCTTGGGGTTTTATTATTTACATCATTTTACTTGCCACGTTGAGCCTTTCTGGGTCACGGTGCATTCAAATCATGTGTACAGTTTATGGCAATGTCAGGACGATGAGGAAAAAAAGGAAAACAACAGTATAGTAATTAAAAAATAGAAAAGCTGTGAGCAACATGAGGGGATGCTTGTTGAGTGACAGTGAACACACGATTAACCTATACCTGTACAATTATAATAATAGTAGTGCTATTCACATCCATATGTACAGTAGCCAAAGTATTTACAGTGGTCACATTGAGAACAAAGCCAGACCTGAGGAGGTTATCAACTTTCGCTTTACCACACATTATAGCCAGAATGATGCAATAACAGAAAACCAAAACTAGCGGCTAGCTCTGGAGTTGCTCACCAGTTAGTCATTGTTTGTTTAACAGCTTGGGAACGAGGAAACATGTGCTGACTACATAACGAAATGGTACAAAGGTTAAGTTTGGATCTTATCAATCCATAGTTTTGTCTGGTCACAGTTCGTATACCTTTCAAGATGGCCGTTTGCAGTTTGTTGAGGTAGGCAGCAGATTAGATCTTTATAGTGGATGTATGCATTGCATGAATCACACTGCCAAATTGTATCTGTAGTTTAAACAGTATAAAAGACTCCTCTTTGATTATGAGCTGGCACGCATAATAACTTGGAAGCTATATGAACAAAAAAAAACAGTTCAGGAATATCCATCTCGCTCCCCATATTCTCAAAAAGAGACACACAAACTATACAATGAAACATATTGTCCCATTCAGACAAGAGAAAACACCTTGGATAAACATACATGTGCAGCATTTCACTCAAAACCAATAAATAAGAATAGAAATTCATTAAATAACAATCACTGTCTTAAGATCACTCGTCTTCAAGTGATAAAAATTATAACTTAAAATAGTCACGTTTTAAAAAACAGTGAAATGCTTAGCTCCTCTTCTAGTAATTATAGTGGTTCCATTTAGCTTTGCACGTGCTCCAACTGCAAACAACTCCACAACAGCGCGATCTTACGAAGTAACTGCCCTTCTCTTTGGAGCATTCTCAGTTGAATTTTCAATAAGAATGCAATCTCCTTTCCAAGTTTGTATTGTGAACAAGCCTGTAAACCGACTTATTTTATTAGGGAGCCATCTCGGTTTTGGTAACTTTTTCCAGCAGCTTTTAGTGATATAATAATGTACAATTTATGTTTCAACTTGTTTTGCTTTGTTAAGCTTTATAGCAGTTGCCCTGCGTTGTGAGAGCTAGTTGACCATTTGGCGCTACTTCATTAGCTTCATCCTCAAGCAAACCCGATACGTCCGCGTTGGGGATGCTATCGTGATAACTGCTAAAGCTAATGTTGTCCTCCTTCAACTCAATGGTCCAAAATGGTGCGTTGAGCTTGCGGTTTTGGTACTCGCGATAGGTGTAGACTCCCCCCACAAACCCAAGTAGGAGTAGCACCACGAGAATAATGACAGCTAGGATGATGATGTTGAATTGGGTCCAGGAGACTTCGGTGAGTGCAGCTGTGGTGTTGTCCGTGGGGCTGCCCAGGCTGGTGAGCAGGGCCTGGGTGGTGGTGGGACTGAGGGACGAGGAGTTGGAGGTGGAAGGGGGCAGGAGTTTTGGCCCAGAGGTGGAGGAGGAGAAAGCAGTGGAACGGGTCGGAGGGGATGTGGGGGCTTCTGTGGTGCTGGTGGTCTGGACTGGTGTGGGTAGAAGCCTGGGATCTGGAGAGAGGAAAATGCATTAAAGTTCTGTTATAACTAAAAAGATAGTGAGTGATCCCCATTGGTGGTCTATAGACCATTAGTCTAAATCCTTTAGTCTTAAGAATATTATCCCATCCCAACTCACAGGCTGCTGGGAAGCCACAAATAGCCTACTTTATAATTGATATCATGACCTGAGACAAACCAACAAGCAAAAGTTTATTTTAGCATTTGTTTGTCTATATCCCTTAAAACTTTCTGATGCAATGTCCCAATCTATTTTTAGCAACTGTGAGGCACTTGCTTTGGCAGTGTGTTTTAAGTACAACACAAATGCAAATCCAAAATAAAAATGAAGAAGACATCAACTGTAAGAAGCAAGATGTATGGAAGTCTGTATCTTTTATATTTTAGATTCAAAGTCGCCACCTGCTGCAAACTCTTTGCCTTTAATGAGAATCTACAATATAAACAGTCATGAAAATAAAGAAATAATGAAATAAACAGTCAACATAATCCTGACCCATAGATTCACTTCTTACCGTGCTCACTGATTAGAGCCAACTAGCCACTGCAGCAGTAACTAGTGAGAGCTGAATATTGAGCACTTGTTTCAGTTAGTTTGGAATTTTCCATACCCTGCACAACTTTGTCAGGGAAACATTGAGTTCACTGGATTTTACTTTTGGATAGCCTAATGTATAATCATAGGTTGTATTATATATTATTTATCTGTTATCTGTTTATCTGTGTACTATTGAAGCAACTAGTTGGCTGAAATCAGTGAGCACTGTGAGAAGTGAATCTTTGGGTCAGGATTAAACTGACTGTTTATTTAATTTTTCTTTATTTTCGTGACTACACTGTAGATTACACTGCAAATTACATTGTACATTGTAGATTCTCAGATGGCAACTTTGAATCTATAATATAAAAAAAAACATACAGACTTCCATACATCTTGCTTCTTACAGCTGATGTCTTCATCTTTATTTTTATTTTGGATTTGCATTTGTGTTGATGTAGGTTATATTTTAAATATCAAGATATCGCCCATACCTAAATTAGACAGTCATAATTTCTCTGACACATTTTGGGGTTCATAACAAAAACACAGCATTTAAGCAGTGTCTCACTCATACGGAACTATTATGGCACGTCTCAGACTTTCTATTACAGTAATGGTGGATCATGGATGTGATGATTTTTCCTGTAAGGAAAACAGATGCAGTGGGAATGTGTCATGGTAGTTAAAATATTGGTGCATTTGCACCACCTAGGGGAGCAAACATGAGCCAGGTGTTGTGTTTCATTCACACATGTTTAAGTAATCCTTTATTCTTAGTCTGTCTACAGTAGATCTCCAAATCACAAAATTCTTTGTTCCACCTTGTGATGTCATCTAGTGGTAGTGTTCAAAGCTACCTTTTACCTTTAGTTCTGTAAACATTGGCAATTCCAGGGCTGAAATGATCTAAATGATTCTTATGAAGGTGTATGGAGTTCAAACACACAGTAGAGCAAGTGTGGCGATACAGGAAGTTTAAACTTGATTATTTTTTGGTCCAAGTTTAGAATTTGTTAAGTTTTGGTTTCGTGCCTAATTGTAAATACTGGATCTGAAAAGAATCCTAAACCCAAAATGGCATTTGAGATCAAAACTACTACTGTTAAAGAGCATACACTCAAATACAATTATGTAATATCTGTTTATATCCAGTTTGTACTTTCTTTGCAGTTAGACCCTTACTCAGCCGTGTGCAGTTGTGAGCCTTGGCATCTCCCACATATCCTGGTGCGCAGAGCTGGCAGTGTGCTCCCGTAGTGTTGCTGATACAGCTCAGACACTCTCCCGTGTGGGGGTTGCAGATCTGTGAGGGCCCCTGGGGGTCGGAGTTGCCGCTGCAGTCACATGGTACACAGAGGGCATCCCGTCTGAAGAACCCGACACTACACTGGTCACACTGAGGGCCTAAGTACGGACCCAGGCAGCGATCACAGACTGCAGACCCACTGGCATCTGAGGAGAAAATGGCAATGTAATGGTGAATTCAGTTCAATTAAAGGTGCACTGTGTAACTTTTTGTTTGGGGGTCTGTCACCTGCTTGTTTCTATGGATATGTCATCGCTCTGTCTGAAATATTCCACAGTATGACTTTAAACAGCACTACCTTACATTTATGCAATTACAGATGGTTTTACTGCTCAAAAATATATCATACCTAGAAAAAACAGGCATTCTGACTGTGAGTGGGGTTGCCTCTCCACAGATCTGACCTGTTAGTCTGCCTTGTAAAGCATCAGGAGAGATTAAGGAATGTACATGAGATAAATGTCAACCATTTGCACAGCTCTGTACATCCATCCATCCATCCATTTTCGTCCGCTTTTCCGGGGCCGGGTCGCGGGGGCAGCAGCCTAAGCAGGGACTCCCAGACTTCCTTCACCCCAGACACGTTCCTCCAGCTCCTCCGGGGGGACCCCGAGGCGTTCCCAGGCCAGCCGAGAGACATAGTCCCTCCAACGTGTCCTGGGTCTTCCCCGGGGCCTCCTCCCGGTGGGACATGCCCGGAACACCTCCCGAGGGAGGCGCCCAGGAGGCATCCGGAACAGATGCCTGAGCCACCTCAACTGGCTCCTCTCGACGCTCTGTACACTTGAGGCTTTTAAATGATTACTGAAGAAGTAAATGAAAGTGGTGAATGATCCAACAAAAAAATTAATAAATGAATACCAGGGAACAACTGATATAATAAACAGACAATGTCTGAGTTTTTACAATAATGTAAAATCTCCTTGTTAATGCTAGACAGGTTAGGCCTGGTTAGTACTTGCATGGGAGACTGCAATAGGGCCACTGCTGCCCCACTGTGGTACCTGGTTTTCCTGTTGTGTCTTTAGGCAACACATTTCACCCACTTTCACCCAAAGAATGAACCATATCATTACAATAACTATGTCATATCTGATCAATTATAATCAGTTAATTATAATAGATTATTATTGTGAAATGTTAATGGCATACCTTTGTTGGAAACCTAAATAAAACTTGCACTCCATGTATTGTTATTTCAGTATGGAGTCATAAAACTATCTTTTTATTTATTTATTTTTATTTGATTTTAGTTTTTACTACTTAAAAAAAAATCACAAGGGTTTACGTATAATAAAATTACAATTACAAAACAGAGCCAGTGGATAAATGTTAGTTTGTGTTGCAATATGCTGAAGCACCACTAGAGGGCATAAACGATCAATAAATAGTTGAGGGACAAAGAGAATATTTATAATACATTTAAATAATAAATTATTATTTATTTTAATTATTATATTATATTATATTTTAGTATTAATATCAAATAAACTTAACAGCTCCAACTATAAAACTATAGTCATTTTAACATTCCTGCAAGCCCCCCCCTACAGTATTTGATTAACAAGAGTAAATATCATACCAGTGACAGAACTATACAATATCCCTTCAAAAGTAGTAGTAGTAGTAGTAGTAGTAGTAGTAGTAGTAGTAGTACTACTAGTAGATAGTACTAGTAGATAGTACTAGTAGATAGTGGCCAAGTTGTTGGTGGCTCTCCACTGAAGTCATGTGACCTGCTCCTGATAAGCTTGGTTTACTCTCTGTAGGGGTCCACATTCAGGGTTATATAACCAAAATGAAACAGGAACTACTGATGCTACCAAACTGTGCATTTGACCACTGTCCTACTCACACTGACCAAGGAGGGGAAGAGCCAAATGCATTGAAAGTAAGTATAGTAGTTAAGATAGTAGTTTAACATTAATCTTTCGTGATGAAGTTACTTAAGTTGGAGTGAGTGTACACCACTGGGCAATCAGTTTGAATGAAAAACAAGTCAGCGAAGTGAAACGAAGTCAGCGAAGAGAAGTCAGCGAAAGGAAACGCATTACAAAAGTAGTAGTAGTAGTAGTAGTAGTAGTAGTAGTAGTAGTGGTAATATTAAAAGTAGTAGTTGAAGATTAACATGCACTTTAAAATATAAAACTAACTCCTTACTGCCCAAAGTAAAGTAGTAGTGGAAAATTCTTCTATTCTCAAATCTAACAAAATTTACAATATAAACCATATAAATCCAACCCTTTGCTCCCACCTCTGTCTCTGTGACATATTTTCACATACGTAGGCATACTTTACAACCAAACCTACCACTATGGTAAGCTTCTAAATATTTCATGATGCCCAGATGAGGCCCGTGCCCGACGTGAGCGAGCGAACACACGGTCCATTTGACGTGTGTGACCCACATTCAGACGGCTGCCGACGAGCTGCAGTTCCACACTCTGTCAAAGATGGCACCATTTAGACTTAAACTTAGACAAAGTTAATGGATCCAAAAAGGAAATTAGTGCCAAGCAGGGGTGGAAGAAGTACTCAATTTTGTTACTTAAGCAAAGGGACAGTCTGGAATTTTGGACATAGGACCTCATTTCCTAGTTAGCCAGAGTGTTGGAGACGTGTGGAGATACTTTTTAAAATATTACATCCAGTCCTTGTATTTGCAGAGGTTGCTGGTGCTAGGCTAGTGCATGTCAATGGTCATAGTCACCCACTCCACAAAACACCTGAAGCAAATCTATTATTACACCAGACTGTCAATGTAAATAGAATAATTCTAATTGATCGAATAATTTTTGAAGTAAAACCAACCTTGCATTTGAAGGATTTATGTCTGAGCAGCAGCAGCGAGTTCTACTTCCTAATAGAAAGCTTGGCAGTGGTGGACTGATATATGAGAAAATAGTCCCTCAAAATGCGATGATTCAGTTTTATTTCAGATATTATTCTATCAACACAGACATTTACATCGATCATAATATCTGGCATAATAATAGATTTGCCTCGGGTGCTTTGTGGAGTGGGTAAGTCTGTTTTTAGTGGCAGGATAACTATGGCCATTGACATGCACTAGCCTAGCACCAGCGACCTCTGCAAATAGAAGGACTGGATGGAATATTTTTTTTAAAAAGTGTCTCCACGTGTCTCCAACACTCTGGAAATGAGGCCCTATGTCCAAAATTCTGAACTGTCCCTTTAAGCAAAAAAACAGATACTAGAAAAAAAAAAAAAAACTCAAGTAAATACACACAGTATCACATGTAAAAATCTATTTAAGTAAAAGTATTAAAGTACCAATTTTAAAACGTACTTCGAGAGTAAAAACTAAGAGTAGAGTATTTTGCACAGATTTTGAAGTCTATATATATATAAATGAAGTGATTTTAATAAAGAATTAAGCAGAATTTTGTTCAACTGAAATAACGGAATTTCACCCCAAACGTAAACCTTAAAGCAAATAACAATACATCATGAGAAAATGGCCCAAGCCTACTGAAAAGTATCATGCACAATGCTATTTTCTGATCTATGTCATAATGTTGTTTCCTCACCACGAACATACCTGGGGTTGTGTTTTATTTCATTCACACACATGTAGGCTGAGTTCTTCTCTCAAACAGACAACATTCTGTTCCACCTTATGATGTCATGGGGTAATACAGAAAGTGCTCTTCTGTATTTTTAAACTCCATACACTTTCACTAGAATCATTTGGATGATTTCAGCCCTGGAATTGTTCATCTCTACTGAACTAAAGGTAAAAGGAGCTGTTCAATTGAAAAGTACCACTGCATGACATCACAAGGTGGAACTGAGCATTTTGAGCTTTGGAGATGTAAAGTCGTAGACTAATAAAAACTGATTACTCAAACATGTGTGAATGAAACAAAATACAACTCCAAATATGTTTTTGAGGAGGAAACAACATTATAAGCTCAAAAGAGTAAATTTTGTGTAATATAGGACTTTAACATAATCAGTGTCTCTACAATTTTACTTTTGCACAACTGAGTAATAGTGCAGGACTTTGAACATAGCATAATAATTGGATATCACAGAGCCACAATTAGGACAGGAATTCCCAGTGAATGTTTCTTAATGATGTGCTATCATCTGTACCATCACTCCCACACCCCATTTCTCTCTCCATCACAGTCTTCTTCTCCGTCTTAATCGTATCCACTCCTCTTTCTCTTCTCCTCATTTCTCCATCTTTTCCTTTCCTCCACGTCCTTCCTTCTCTCCTCCCCCCTGCCTCCCTCCACATTTTTGGCTCTTTCACATCCCTCTCCTCTGACTTCTCACCGCTTTCTCATCTCCTCCATGATCCCTTTTTCCACCAACCTCTCTTTTCTCTCCTTTTCACCCCGTATCTCCTCTCTTCCCCCAACTCTCTTCCTCCTTTCTTCCCTCTCCTCCATCCATCTTCCCTCTCTTTCTCTTCTCAGCCATCTTCACCTCCTCTCCTCTCTCTTCACCTTCTCTCTTCCCTATCCTCTTCCTCTCTCTATGCCAGGGGTCATGGTTTAGACCTGGTTAAATCCTGGTTTAGTTCTGGTTTATTCCTGGTTTTGGTTCTGGTTTAGTTCTGGTTTCAGTTGTGGTTTTAGTTCTGGTTTATTCCTGGTTTTAGTTATGGTTTAGTTCTGATTTAGTTCCAATTTTAGTTCTGGTTTAGAGACGTGGTCTGCGCAGTTTATGAGCATATGGAAGGGGGGGTTCGTGATTTTACGGCCAGGTACCGAACGACCCACAGCCCAGTACTGGTCCCTGGCCTGAGGGTTGGGGACCCCTGCCTGCTCTAATGTACACAGAAATTATGAAATATTAAATAAAATGATAAGAAAACTACTTTATTTTGTTGCAAAATACCAGCAAAATGTGTTTCTTTTTAGGTAAACTGTGCCAGACTTTTGGATAGAATTCTCCCTATGGTGATGTCATTAGTATGTTGAAAACTGTCAGCTTTGTGTAATTTTTAAGATAATTTTCAGCACAAACTGCTTCATGATGGGTGTAAAACTATAATTTATATTTACAGCTGGTATTATTCTCCAAATGAAGCCAAAATGAGAGAATTATAAAAAAAAATCTGTCACACACACTTTAAACGTAAACAGGTAGTGTTTTTGCAATTTTAATATTATGCCTAATTTTGGGCCAGCAACTACATAAATCTCCTTAGTTCATCAATTTATGGAGAAAAATGTGATTCTTGGACACCACAATTCTAAATCAAATTTGCACTGATATTCAATACTAGTATCATATGCTTCCTTGCGCTCTTTCTCCTCTCTTCCATCTACTCCCTTCATCTCTTTCTCTCTCCTCTTTCCAGTCTAAAGAGCTCCAGCTGTGCCCATATCCACCCATCTCTCCTCCCTTGCTCTCTTGCTCCCTTGCCATTTTCCTCCTGTCTTCCCCATCTCTCCCCCCTTCTTCCTCTTCTCCTCTATCATCTTCTTCTCTTCTTCCCTCTCTCTTCCTCTCCTCTCCAGTCTGAAAAGCCCCAGCTGTGCCCCCCCCCTCCCTTCTCAGCGTAGTTCCTGTCACCCTTTCATCACCCTTTCATTTCGTAGAGCATGGAGCACCTCGGCCACTTTAGCTCCAGAATCAGATGAAATGTGACCTGACAGCCAAAGTGCACACAATTATACCTGTACACAATGCTGCTGTTGCTATGGAAATCGCCACATTGACACTGCACTTTTTTGGAATAAATTTGCCATTTCTTTCAAGTGTTAGTTTGGGTTGCTTTTTAAACTCAAGTCACAATCACTCAATTCTTGGTCACCATTACTACCACTACTACTACCATTACACACCACTACTACCTACTACTACTACCCACCACCTACTACTACTACACTACTACCACTACTACTACTACCATTACCACCACTACTACTACCATTACCACCACCACTACTACTACCATTACACCACCACTACTACTACCATTACTGTTACTACCATTACTACCACTACTACTACTACTACCATTACACCACTACTACTACCATAACCACCACTACTACTACCATTACTACTACTACCATTACACCACTACTACTACTACCATAACCACCACTACTACTACCATTACTACTACCATTACTACTACTACCATTACTACCACTACTACTTACTACCATTACCACCACTACTACTACTACCACCACTACTACTACTACTACAATTACCTCTACTACTACCACCACCACCACTACTAATACTACTACCACCACCACTACTATTACTACCACTACCATTACTACCACAACTACCACCTTTCCCATTACCACTACTACTACCACTACTACTATGTTTAGTTCTATGTTTAATATTTTGTGAAAGTTTACCATAGAGTGATGATTTTTGAATTTTATGCTGGAGTTTTGGAAAACATCCAAAGTTTACTTTGCTCTTTGCAAACAAAAAACAGGTTAACAGGCCAACTAGACATCTCATATTTTTGCTCCAGTTAAAAGAGTATTATCATTTTTCATATGAGAAATCCACCATCTATTTGTCACCATGGAAATGTTATTGTTTTGCATTAGTCTATCTAATGAAAATGCTCTGTTCCAACTTGTGATGTCATCAAGGTATAGTTTTCACATTAACATCAACAATTTACCTTTAGTTCAGTAGAGATGGCAATTCCAGGACTTAAATTATCCAAATGATTCTAGTGAAGGTGTATGGTGCAAACTAATGTAAAAACACAGTAGAGCACTGACATCACAAGGTGGAACAGAGTGTTTTCTGGTTGAGAGAAGAAAATATACAGGGTTTATGTGTTAAACATGTCTGAATGAAACAAAACACATCTCTGGATGTGTTTTTGAACTTTGAACAGAAAAAAACATAAGTCCCTTTCAAGAGTTTTCCTTTAGTTCTATATATATATATATATATATATATGTGTGTGTGTGTGTATATATATATATATATATATATTTTTTTTTTTTTTTTTTTTTTTGCAATACATGCACCCTAACTGGTCCAAAATGACGAAGTACAGAACTCAAAGATAAATAGTTTGACTTAATCAGACTGTATGAAGGGTCAGTTACAGTGTAGACTCCTGATAAACCAGAGCTGTGTGAACACTCTGAAAACTGCCCATGAGGCTCCATTTTGGGTCTGAGCCAAACTGCAATTAAGGTCACACTACTGGAGTTAACGAGTGTAACATTGATCACTGTGAGCCATCAATGAACCACAACATGCTTTTAACAAGAGGAGATACAGTGGGATAGCAACAGTCTACTACTTCAAAGTCATCTAGGCTGGGATATCGTTTTTCAGTTAGAACTGTACCACCAATTTAGCAGAGGTTGGTAGTACTCAGTAGCATTGTCAAAAGCATAGAAAATAATATACGAAATGTAGCACTGAAATTAGATACTCATTTGAGCAGGTATTGATAGTAAAAAGTCATATATACAGGACAGAAATGAGCCTTTCCTGAATAGCTTTAGAATGATCTTGAGAGCATAGACTACTAGTATGCGCCCATGGACCACTATGGAGCCTACCTGGACAACTCAGGGATCACACAGATATAAGACTGTGGTCAAAGAAGATCTATTCCTTAGTATCAAAATCGAGTTTGAAATGTTATTATTGTGATACCACTACTCAGGTTTACTCAACCAAAAATTGTTGTAGAAATTGTACTTTTCAGAGTTGGTTTTGATCGTTTTCTACTTGAAGAATAATTTGGTTTCTCTTCGATGTTGTGGTATTAGCATTAATTTGTGTGGAATTAGAGTGCACAAATTTGGTGCTGCAGTCTAAAGAAACATAGCATTAGACTATTACAAGCACTCTGTAGTACAATTCAACTAATCTAAAAATAGTTGATAATGTTTTGACCAAGAATTGACAGACCGTAATGAAGCTCATAATATAGCAGGAGAGTGAAGAGGGTCATCCCATAACTAGGTTACAAATTGAATTATTCAGCAGAAAAAAAATGTAGTACAGCTAACATGGATTCACTTCTTCATTTGTGCCCCAGTATGCAACTGTGAAGGTTAAACTACGAGTATGAGTGTTTTGGTTTTGTTGTGATAAAGCAACTTCTGGGGTCTAGTCATTAATAAAATATAATAGAATCTATGTGATTTTCTGTCAGCATCAATACTGAAATTAACATTTAGTTACAATTTTGATCATATTGTGAATCTTGCAGCTCTTCATTGGACAGTTTGAGACATGTTTTAACAGCTCAGATTCCTCTCTCGTGATGTTAAATGCTACAAAACCCTTGAGTTTCACCAGGTATGTTCCCAAATCACTTTTCATTCCCAGATTTGTCATGATTTAGTGCTGTGTCGTAAACCTGGAGTTCACACTGGAGGAGACATGTTTGACTAGGAGGGGAAAGTAGGTCATTTGCAGAAACAGATGAGATCCGAGGGGTTGCATAGGTCCAATTAATCCCAGACTGTCTGGAAAACGCATGTAAACATCCGGTTTTCCACCAGGATCATGTTCAGGATCAATGTATGGATTTTAAAAGCAGATGAAGTAAAGTCTAATCAAAGAGTTAATCAAATCAAACTGCTCTAGTTTATGGGTGATGCATCTCAAATCAAAGTGTTACAGTGATGAAAATAAGTATATAAAGGCCGCTATCTTAACTTGATAGGAATGTATTCTTCATACAACAAATATCAATTACAAACAAATCTGAATTTATTCATGGAAAGTATCTTGAGATTATTAAATTAAGAAATGTAGGTTGTTTTTGTTTAGCCATATAGTGTAAAAAGAAAACATGAAAAGTTACATTTAAATAAGGTATTGTTGCTTAAACAATTTCAAATTTTTTCCATTCCAATTTAGGTAATTTATGAATACAGATAACCTGAGTAACTTTTACATACACATACCACTTGCTCTATTTCTAGTAAATGCTCAATAGTCTAGTAAATATTCAACAATAGTCTACTTCAGTAACTATTCTGCATTTTATTATATCAATAAGAGTTCAATTTGAGGATTTTAACTGATCAGAAATATCAAGTTTTGAACCTTTAATTTGTTTCCATTAATACTAACCTATAAATTGGACTTTAAGCTTCACATCCAAACAATGTAAGCTGACTTTTTTACCTTCTATGCTACATCAAACCCTTTTTTAATGAAATTGTGTCTACGGGTATATTACCGTATATTGCTGGCAAAACAACAAGTGAATTTATTTTATTTATCTTATTTATGCTCCCTTTGCATATATGGTGTATTTGTGTTCTTGTTTTTACTGTATTGTTTCCAGTGTTTCAGTTCTTTTATCCTGTAGTCTGCGCTGTTGTCACTTTTCTAGCTGCAGATGTGTGTACATGAATGAGTCAATGAGCTGAGTCACTGCCAAACTAAATTTACTTGTTGGTACCAATGAAGTAACCTTTGAACCTTTGTAAATAGCATGTTTAAGTATTACTTGACCAGTACTGACCGGTGTGGCAGGTCCCATTGGAGGAGGTATTGGAGCAGGGGCAGGGCAGACACGCTTCATTCGGGCCACTGTTAGGACTGCGATAGAAACCAGGTCTGCACTCTTCACAGTTGGACCCCTGTGTATTCCCCTCACAGTTCAGACACACACCTGGACAAGACAACAATGCATTTATTATTAAGATAATGTATATGTATCATGGAACTGAAAATGAACCAAAATATACAGCCAAAGTAGTGGTGAAATTATATTAAATAAGACATATTGTGCTTTTGTCTGCTGTATAGTGATAATTTATGTCACACATGGATCATCATGTTATAATTTGGACATTTTAAATTGGAATATTACTTTGAAATGACTCAATCAAAAAAAACAAATCCACCAATTTCAAGGTTAAAAAACTGCAGTGCCCAGTGGGAGGCTGTTAACACCGTCACAAGAAGGAGACGCAAAGTTGCAGGCATTTCCAATGGATAGCTGCACATTACGCTGGTCAATACCATTTGTATGCTGCATAATGGTGACGAATCCAATTAAAACAAATTCAATTATAACAATGCAATCAGAGAACCAAGTAAGTACAGAGCAGAGAGGGATGAAAACGAGGGTTGATCAGAGCAATGACGTCTTAACTACAACAGTATAAAGATGACTCATACATGCTTGGCTCACGCTAAATACAACTTGGAGAGGGTGAATGAGAAGGGAAAACAACTATTACATGGTTGAAACTGTGAAGAGTCAATTTTGCGTAATAGGTTCGCTTTAAAAATATGGTTAGATTAGCATTTTTTAAAATCAAGATACCATCCAGGAACATTAACACGTGACATTTTGAGGACTCATCCCATGTTCAAATTCAGTTTAAAATTTTTTGGCAATGGTCATAAATTTTATAACTCTGAAATCAAACAACTACTGTTTCATGAGGTCATTTTATTGTGTAACAAGCTGAGTATGTGTACTGTCTTGGTATGTTATGATGTGTTGTGAAATTGTATTAGTCTAATTGTATTAGTCTGAGGTCTATATTTAACCACACACCAGTGACGCCACTATGACCTTTGGCTGAAACTGGCTGGCACATATTTCACATTCTGACAATAGTTGTGTACTTCTTGCCATTGTTCAAGAATTGATGACATGAAATAAATGATGATAAAGCAACGTTTCCTTTTGATTTTGTATATAGACAATGCAAATTTGAACAAATCACTATACATATTCAGATAAACTATTAAAGGGTTGTTTAAACAATATCTAAAAAAAGAGAAACACAAACATGTACTGAGTAGACTAGCTTTTTGATCAAAGTAGGAAGATGCCAAGACATAATGTAATTTATAAATATTACATAACATTAAAAAAAAAAAGTGTTAAACTTCTTGATGACTGAAAAAAGCAAAGAAAATGATTGGCACAGAGGGAAAAATTAAGGGGAAATTGCATGTAGAATTTGAGTCAATTATTTGAGACATCTTATTGCATATACCACTAAATTTTAAATAACTATGGATGAATTATTTAAATGTTTTCACAGTGTGATCCAATATTATAGAGCGCATTCTGACACAGAGATAATATTTGTACCAAAACATCACAATATTTTGACCACTGCTACTTTAAATTCAAGGGCAAACACTTCAGCTATTTTCAAGTCTTAATCTAACTACCAAAACATCTAGTAATTTTTCCATTAGGGCTCTGTTAAATCCACAAACATTGCCTAGTTCTCCTGTAATTTACCATGCCATTACTCATCCACAAACCTGAGCCCTTACAAGCCTACTATTAAACAGTAAAAGTAACCTGGAGTGAATCACTGTCATTACACACTCCTAGCATTAGCCCTGCTCTGGTGATGACTGTTTATCAGTTTGGGAGGAATAGCATGCTTATGTAAGGGACGACACTGCAACAGCAATAACAAAGCTCTTAAGTTACATGGCCCTGTATCAGATTCTATCCCATGTATTTAAAATGTGCAAATGTGTAACTTTTTGGTTGGGAGTCCGTCACCTGCTTGTTTCTATGTATTCTGCCTGGAATGTTCCTCAGTATGACATTAAACAGCTCTGTCTTACATTTCTTAAATTACAGGTGGTTTTGCTGCTCAAAAATGACTAGAAAAACATGCATTCTGACTGTAACTGGGGTTGCCTCTCCACAGATCTGACATGTACCTTGGCCGGGTTTGGTCTCCATGATGATAGAAAGTTTTAATACCATACTGTGAAACTTTCCAGACAAACCTATAAAATCTCCATGAAAAAAAAGCATTTGACGGACCCAGTTTACACAATGCAAATTTAAGCAAAATTGTCAACTGCAGATATATTGTATGACATCAAAACAAGCCTGTTGCACACTGCCTCCATCTAAAAGTGTTTCATTGTCCCATAATCAGAAGTATGTGTTAACATGCTAGTTGTTCTAAGATTCACTGTCACTACAAAACTCCGCTCTGATCTCTGAGAGTTGTGAAAAGTGCATATAAACTAATTTTGAGGAATAATTAAAATATGCACTATGTAACTTTTTGGTTCCACAGATCTGAGTTATAACTTGGTCTTGTTTGGTATCCATCAAGCTAGAAAGATTTAATACTATACTGTGAAAAATTCCAGACAAGCAAATAACATCTCCATGGAGAAAAGCATTTGACAAATTCTCCACCAGAAAAGTTACACAATACACATTTTACCATTAATCATGAACTAGTTACATTGCGTAGTCAAACGCTTGAATCAAAATTACTCAAATAAATTCATATTAAAAGGTGCACATTCTTCTGGTAGAGGATCTAATTTGTGTTTGTCTCCATGACAGTCGTTATAGCTTTGCCTATAATGTTCCACAGATTAGCATTAAACTAATCAATGCTGCATCTAATTGTTTGTGTTGCTAACAGTTCTTGAAAAACATGCATTCTGTAAGCAAGCTTGTCTCTCCACAGATCTGAGCTGTAACTCACAGTTTGCATTCATATTTGTGATTGAAATGAAATGTATTGATTTGAAATGTTTTAAAGTTAACTATCAGTGTTCATGTAATATCTGGAAAAGAGGGCAGATAACATAAGATTACTGTTCTTTCTGTTCCTTTTCATTCATTTCTAGTATGTTTAACTTCATGACACTGTTTATGTCTTTTTATACTTTAATAAACAAATATAATCTAAATCAATAGCAATAATATTTCCAGACAAACAAGTGACACAATACACGTTTAGTATTTTGAATTTACTTCGCGTTTAGCTCATGTGATATTTTGTGCAGGTGAGAAGACAGGGGAGGACAAAGAAGTCTGTTGTTCCAGGCCCCCGGGATTTAAGATACGTTTATATGATGAAGGTCTGAACAGAAGTTGCAAAAGGGGCGTTGCAGCTTCACTTTTAATTCCGCGTTTAGACAAGCATTTTCGGGAGGAAATCTGAGTGCGTACGGCGTGTGGAATTCAACTGGTTAGGCTTGCCAGGCGGCTAGGTGGTGCTGCTATGTGATGATGTATGTGAGATAAACGCGACGTGACCAGATCTGATCAGAGTTTTGTGTCTTGGGCAGTGTAGACGGAAACGCTACGGCGGAGCGTATTCAACTTTTCCACTCTGGAGGGTGGTTTCAGATTTTTGCGTTTTTTAAATCCCCCAAACGCCGTTACCGTCAAAATGAAAGGCACTTCCGATAAAATATTTTGTCGTTTTTACCCGCAAGCTTTCTCGTGTAAACAGGCCCTCGGGGACCCAGAACTGGACCTTCATTGTATTCATTAATATTAGAGGGGGGCCCGTGTAAGGCTTTATGCCCAAGGCCCCAAAATTCGTGTGGACTGGCCTTTTGTGTTGCGGTGTTGCGTCGGTTAGGGGTAGTATGTGGACGGGGCATGTCATGTTCCAGCCTGTTGACAGTGAAAACAAACACATAACAGGTTTAACACACACGTCAATGAGAGAGTCCTGTCTGCCAATGTTTACGCAATAACAACCGCTCAATAAAAAAGCACTTAGTTAAAAGCTATGGTCAATCTACTTCATTCATATTCATTTATAGCTGATGTTAAAGGACCAGATATATTTAACGGTGCACTGTGTATCTTTTTGGTTGGGGTCTGTCACCTTCTTGTTTCTATGGATATGTCATTGCTCTGCCTGGAATGTTCCACATTATGACATTAAACAGCTTGGCCTTACATTTTTTCAATTACAGTTGCTTTTATAGCTCAAATGTACCAACAAAAACAAAACATTCTGACTGTGAGAGGGGTCGCCTCTCTACAGATGTGACCTGTAACTTGGCCTGGTTTGGTCTCCATGAAGATAGAAAGGTTTAATTAATGCCATACTGTGAGACATTCCAGATAAAACAATAACATTTCCATGGACAAAAGCATCTGACGGACCTTCCACCAGAAAAGTTACACAACGCACCTTTAGCCCAACAGTTTTGTTAATTATTTAAAAGATGCTGCCGTTTGCTGCGGCTGTCTCTAGGCTATAGTTCTACTTGCCAAGCTGTCTGGGAGAAATACAAATAACAAAACAGAAATGTGCATGTTGCCAGCTGTAGGACACGCAAAGACATGACTGTGAATAAATGCTACAAGGATTCAAAGAGATAGATGAAAGAAGTTGTGTACAAGTTTGGGAAAATATCTTGCAGCATTTTCCCACTGCAATTAGTGATTATGATTAGGTTTGCTATTGGTGTTGTTGTTCATTAATCAAGAATGAATTCATTAACTCAGATACAGAGACAAAAATCAGATACTAAACTAGAATTGAAACTAGATAGACAGGTGCTGATACTAAAAGTCACAGTGACAGAATAGAAATTAACATTTCTTGAATAGGTTAAGAATTATTTTGAGCTTTATTTGAACTCTAGTATAAAGACTAGTATCCGCCAATTGACCACTATGGAACCAACCTGGACAACAGAGGGATTACATAGATATAAGGCCACATGATAATATAAAATTATTATGATTTAATGTTGAAAATGACATTCTATTGTCTAAATAATGAGTGTTTTTAATCATCATTGTGGTATCAGAATCGGTATTTGAGTATTGAGTCTATTCTTTAGTATCGAAATCAAGTTTGAAATGTTAGTATCATGACAACACCAGTCTAAATGAAGGGTTACTAATTGTACATATAATACGACCCCATGGAAATATTGCAGAATATTACAAAAATAATGAACTAAATACAATCATACAAACTGAGACTTGACTCCGTGTAGATGTTATTGTTTTTTCCTGGAATGTTCCACAGTATGATATTTAATTTAACTATCTCTGTGGACACAAGCAGCCACATTACAAGGCCAAGTGACAGGTCAGATCTGTAGAGAAGTGAGCCCACGCACACTAAGAATGCATGTTTTTGTGGTAGTTTTGAGAAACAAAAAATCCTCTAATTGAAGATATCTTTGTTTAATGCCATCCCACGGAACATCCAAGGCAACACAAAAACATCACCATGGAAACAAGTAGATGGTGGACCCTTCACCAGAAAACCTTAATATAATCATCTAGCCTTTGTGAACATAAATTGATAAAAGTCTATTGTAATTTTGTCAGAACTCAAAACAGAGCTCCTTTGTGACTTGTTCTGTATCAATACTAACCCAATCTGCAGGGCATTCGTGTTTTTCCTTGTTTCAGTCTCTCAATAACAATTACCTCATTAGCTTGCATCGCACTCTTTAGCTTTGTCGCACAGTGAACCAACGTTGCACCTGCATTCTAAGTGTAGACTCCCTCCTTTTTCCTTATTTAGTCTGTACTTTCTTTGTTGAGTCTAGTGACAGTTACAAACACGGACAATTTACCTTCTCTCTGCTAAAAATGACGCCTATCTGTCACGTTTATATGTTTGGGGTAACCGTGATATTTGCATTATTCCTATTGTGTCCTTGGCCCATGGGGAGACACAGGGTCGGCCTCTACTTCAGTCTTCTGCTGAGGTGATCTACTGGCTCAAGGCTGTAGCAGTGCTCCATCTGCCCTGCATTATAATGGCGGGACATATGGCTGCTACGAAGAGCCCCTCTCTCTTTGGTTTAATCTGAAAAGGACACCAACGGAGAAACGGGCTTCGCTTTGAACAGGTGCTCCTTTATACCGTGATAGGTGTAATGTGATATTGTCATTGTTCATTCCAAATCGCAGTTTGGGTTGCCGCAATTAGTCAAATCGCAAAAGGCTGCAATTATTTAAATGATAAAATGAACCTGAAGAGGTGCCCAAACATTCACAGCATATATACATATATATAAAGAAATTATAAAGAACTTTTGCTTTTGTGGGTGAGTGACAGCACTGGGTGATCTATGTATACAGATAAAATAATAATTGTACGTATATACATAATATTATACAAAAATAGAAAATGTGTTGAAATTGTTATGTCTTCTAAATATCGTTCCAAGTTTAGTTAATCGTTTGTGCTGCTCTATGTATGTATGTATACAAGTGTGTACCCGTCCAGAGTGATATTTTTCATGCAATTAAAAGTGAAATTCCTTGCCAACTGTACTTGTTTTTGTTCTATTATTGTGCAAAATTTTCAAGAAAAATTACCTGACAAAATATTTGGGTGGGTTAATATAAGTTTTTATGAGAAATATGCTTTTCTCTTGTTTACAATATATGCAGTATGTATATGATTGTTTTTTTTATATCTTTACAAACTCAAAAGCAAATCAAAATCAATCAAAATGTACTCTGTTATCTTTTTATACAAATCTTACCTGACTTAAAATGCATGAGATTCTTGTATTAGTTTATCATTTCATAATGTTAATGCTTCTAGAGTTCTTTATAATGTGCACTACTATAAGGTCTGCAGATATTTTTGAGCCAATATGTAGATCTTATTTTCATAGTTTTCCCCAAATTTTGTATTTTAAAATAACTATAAACGTGTTCAAGTGTTCACATTGAGTTTTTTGTGTATTCTTTAGGCAGCAAGTTGGCCAAAATATCAGCCTCTGCTTGAGTTTTATATGAGATATGGTGAAAAGAGCAAATGTCAGCTGGACTATATATCGGTCAGATCATGAGAAATGGGGATGTCAAGATTTACTGATCAGTTGAATATAACTGTATGTATGTTATGTATGTAAGAAGCAAAATGACAGATTTGAATTCAATCTGTACTCCAAAAAAGTCAAAGAGTCTTAAACGGCTAACCTATAGTT